TAGGTCCCTTCCGACCCTAAATCTATGAAGCTATGAAACTAGGTGGCACACTTGACTTCCCATGTTCCCAGGATTGGTAGCTCTGGGTGCTATTTACTGGAAAGGGGATGTAGTTTGTTTTTCATTGCTGAGGACTTCTGCAAAGGCAGGACTTTTTTCAATGTTGTAGCACAGAAAAGCAACCAGTTCTACCCTAGACTCTATCTTGATCCCGTTGCTGTGAAAGGCTGAAGTGTCATTGCACTGTACAGGGATTAGTCCAGTTATTCTTGAGTGGGTGATTTCAGCTCCGATGTGCAATGCTTTCCCTTGGCATGGGATTTACGTTTATTTTAGAACAGATTTTCTGTTCTTCATTTATGAATGTGAACTGTCCTTGCTCCAGGAAAAAAAAAATTGAATGACCTAATAACAGAAATGTCCATATCACCAGACTAATTCAGATCCACCATCCTCCTCATCAGGTATCCCAGCCCTGACGGTGACCATCACTGCCTGCTTTGGAGGAAGGGAACGAATCCTCCTCACAGGTGGCAGATGTGGGGATAATTTGTCCACCCATATAAACCTCCTCCTAATTCTTCATAGTTAGAGGTTGGCAGCCTTGTTATGCATCATATGTTTTCTTTTATCAGGTTTGAATCTGCCACGTTTGCATTTCATTTAGCATTCACCTGTTTTTGTGTTGGAGACAAAGCAGAAATTCCTTATATGACTTCTCTCGGATCAGGAATAACTGAGGCTATTTTATATTTATTCAGTCCTGCAAATTTTGGCCCATTCCTAAATGAAACAATCCCCATCTTTTTTAGTTTCTTTTTACGTGAGAGCCTTTCCAGCCCTTTTCTCATTCTCCTTATCTCTCCTTGCAATCTCCTTTCAAAGATGGGCTCACCTGAACTACCTGAGCTGCAGCAACTTGAACTGAATATAGTATTTTGGGGGAGGCCATGCTGTTGCTCTGTAGAACAGCACAGATTATGGTTGAATTTTACAAAGCTGGTTACCCAAGGTTAAGCTCCTGGATTAAATATAGGCACTTAACAAGAGTAGCTTCGTTTTTATTCTCTCTCAAAAGTACTGTATAGAAGCAAGCTCCCATTGAGTTCAATGGAATATGGATTTAGGAGCTTAACTTTGGGCAGCCTGGCTTTGGAAATCTTTCTTACCCTGCACTTTGACTTCTGCTGCAAAAGGAAAAAACAACACGTGGGAGGAGGTGACTAGCAGTTCTGCAGTATGAAACTTGTAAGGGGAGATTATTAACCACACAATAGTGCTAATTAAGGTCTCCATGGTCTCTTCACTAGCACAAAATTGTGAAGCTTCCAGGAGCCCTGATGGAGCCGTGGGGTGTGCGCCAGCTGAGATCCTGCCCCTGTGCTGCAGGGCCCCTGTGTATTCAGCCCTCTGCATTTTCTGTGTCGCAAGCTTAGTTCTTGCTTTGATGAAGTGAAGTGAGAGGGGGGGATTGTTCTCCAACTGTTTAGTTAAAGGTGGGTTTACCATTTTCATTGAGCAGGATGTGTATTCCTGCGGCACAGCAGACTTCCAGTCCTGCTTTGATAGCGACTTTCTCCAATACTTCCAGGGTTTTACAAGCTAGTGTTTGCAACTAGATCTGAGCCCTGAGGTTTGCAAGGCTGCTGAGGTTAAGATGTATCATTTTTCTGAGTAAAGAGAGATTCCTCTCCCCTCCCACATGCGCACACACTTCTCATCCCTCTTGTTCCAGATCCCACATCACAAAACTGATGACAAAAAAAATCTGTTCTACCAAGAACTGAATGTTGTCAATTAAAGAGTGGCCTTATGGAGGGTACTAATGTATCTAACTATTTACTGAGAGCAATAGTAGTTAATTGGAAGAGAGGAGTGATGAGCTGTTTGTACCAAGACTGAAGCAGTTAAAGTGTGTTCTTCAGTGACATCTGTGCGTCAGAGCCTGCTTCCTGTCTGCCATCCTCTTGTCCCAAACAATCACTTTAGAGCTTCCTTATGCATGACTCCCACTGTAATTTTGTTGAACCTTTATTTAAAGAACTACCTGTTACCAGAAAAAAGACTTGACTTTTTTTAAATGGTTGATTGGGAGGTAGCTCTGGATTTCAGAGGTGTAAATAGAGCAGGGAGAAAATTTGAAATGAAAAAATAAATAGGAGTAGGTCATAGTGAACGTGCCATTCATTCCAAATGTTCCCTGCTTGTGCCCATTGTGTCTCCCAGCTTTGGGCAGGAGATCTCTGCCATCTCACCACAGATTGCACTTTGGAGTCAAGTGAATCCCTAATTGCTAGCAGTGAAGGTTAGGGGGTGACCCTAGTCATTTTGAATTTAAATATAGACCCCAGGAGATAAATGTGACTCGGTGGGATCTGTATGTATAAATAATACAAGACTAACTGCAGGCTGTCTTGGGTCTTAAAACACAGCCTGTTTTAGTTTGTCAGCTTCATTTCATTTGACTATCTCCTGAAATCTTATGAGCAGAACCCCACTGTGCTAGTGGCTGTGCCAGCACATAGTCTGAGATGATCCTTACATTGAGGAGGGCAGGGAAGAAAGGAGGCAGCATCATTCCAGCTGTACCAAGAGACGTCCAGGCACAGCAAGGTGAAGGACACTCAGGGAGCCTGAACCCAGAATCTGGCTCACTTGAACCCTAGTCCAGTGCCTTACGACAACACTCTGCCTTTCCCTTCCTGTTGTAGTGGAGGAGGCAATGCCTAATGAGAAAAGCACCATTTTCATCAAATACTCCTTGCCTAGGTGATGAAATGCTTCAGTAAGTCAGTAAAAAAAAAAAAAAATATTTAGCAAAAGCCAGTCAAAAAGCAGCACAATGCTGCGCTGTCAATCAGGCACATAGTGCACAGATAAATGCTGGTTTCTGGGCAAGTGTAAGGCAGGGTTATGGTCCAGACAAATGCTGTGGTGCAGCTGGGGTGTGCCACCACTTCTTGATTGCACCCAAGCAGAGGCAGCTGCTTGCTATCTTTTGTCTGATAATTCCTTTGCATCTTCTCCCTATGGGGTTACAGTCTGAATAGTGGAAAGCTGCAGATTAGCAGGAGTGTGTGTGTGTGTGCGTGCGTGTGTGCACGCGAGCAAATATCTCTGTTCTCTACAAACACATTAGGATGCACAGTGCACAAGTCACAGGAGATCCAGTAACAAGCTGAGGAAGGTAAAAGGTCCAGGCTTCAGTGGGTTGTTAAACGCCAGCTCCAAGTTCCAGCATAAGAAATGTATCTATCCAAGTCACAAGCTTCTCCCTCCAGAGGGGGATAAAGAATGCATTCAGATCTCAGTGCCCACCCTCTCGCACACTCTCTGGGCACTGCAGAGAGCCTGGCAAGAGGAGGTAGGCAAATAAGGATATGGATTGCAGTACCTTTGCAATACCTATCTGTTGGCCCCCCCTCCCCCAACTAGAGAAAGCAGGGTATTGAATGCTCAGGGGATTTTGTGAAATCAAAGTCTTCTGTGCAGGAGAACACTGTGTTTTAGAATAGCCGAGGCAGCCCAGAGTTATGGCACTTGGGAGGTGCTTTAACAGGACCTGACCACTGTAGATATCATCTTCAACCAAGGGCCCTCTGGACAGATCTGAGCTGAGGTCTGTAGTGTAGCATAGAGATTTCCAAGGTGGCTCAGGTTCTGGTAGCTTTCTAGCCACAGTAATCTAGCTCCTGCAGCCTGCTGTGTAGATGCGAGCTGTCAGATGTGCTGGATTTACTAGCAAAAGAGCCCATGTTAGATGTAACCTCATCGGTGCATCAGCCAATGTCACAGAGAAACTCAATGGCAGAGCAGAGCATTTGACCTGGGCCAGTTGAGGCCTTCTCAGCTATCATCTTAACCACTGGCCTGTGCTTTCAGTGGACCACAGCATTGTCCAAGATCAGCTTGCAGAATAAGCCTTCGTATGTTGTATCTGTTTCCACCCAGGTTTTTGTCCTCCTTGAGTGTTTAGAGTGCAAGCCCTTTGCAACCCAGGCCAGGCCTTGCTCTGTGTGTGCATAGCTGTCGCTTGGTGGGTGCTGTTTTGGACTCCATCCTTCCGCAGTGGAAATAATAACCCTTGGGTCTGTTTTCTCTGCTTTTTGTTTTACAGGGTCCTAGTGAATCCACGACAGAACCTGACTCGTATGCAGTTAAAGGGCACCTTCCAGGGGGCTAAGGTAGTCCGTGGCCCAGACTGGGAATGGGGCAATCAGGATGGTAAGGGATTGCAGTTTTGCTTTTTTTTCAAACAAAAAAAGAAAAAAAAAATCCTACTGTAAAAACACTGATTTTGCTAAAGTGCTCATCATAAATGCATGCTGCAGCCAGGGAATTTGCTGGGGCCACTCAGACACTGCAGACTGCTTTATGAGGAGCTCTAATTATTCTTTATTTGCTTGTATTTGTGTAGAGACACTTCTCTGGCACTTTGTCGTCTTATGGTATTAGGGCAGCATGCAGGCATTCATGAGCCCATGCTCCCAGCCTGTCTCTGAAGTACCCCATGGCTGATAGATGGGGAAGCAGAGGCACTCTTGGACATTTATACAGAGCTGCAAAAATACACAACACCTGATAGAGCCTAGAGTCCCTTTCTGTGCCTCAGAGAGCTGGCACTCGCAGTAGGAATTAGTATTGTTCTCTGAGGTCTCTTAATTTTTGGTCCTTTGATTTTATTTATTTAATTATTTATTTATTTTTAATGGGGCAGCAGTCCCCCATGTATCACTGAGGGAATCTGTTGACAGCAGTTAGTGCAGGATGACTTCTGCTTTCTCTGTGAACTGTAACTACAGACTTGATGCTGCAAGGGGACAAGAACCCCCCCCACTGCCACGTATGTCTTCCAACTCTGCCTGCAAGAAGGCTGCACTTCTAGAGAGCCTGGTTCAAAGCTCAGTGAGGTCAATGGGAATCTTTCCATTAATGTCAATGGCCTTTGGCTCAGGCCCTCTGTGCAGCAAGGCTGCAAGATCTCCCCTGTACGTTCCCATCTCGGAGCCCTGCACGGATCAGGCTTGTTTTCCTCCACGTGACTTGGCTGTAAAGCCTTCTGCCTGAGACTGAGTCTGCTTTGGCGGTGGGTCTGCGGTGGGTGCCAGAGGCTGTACACACTTGGAATCTGAAGGGAAACGGGGCTCGTGTCTAATACAGGGAAGCCAGCCCTGTCTGAGTCAAGCTCGATATTTGCATACATGAGAGTTGTGGAGCTCAAGGGAGCTGAGACCTGAATGCGCTAATGTGAGCAGAACAAAGGTGAGGCAAGGAGAAAGGCAGGCCAGCCCCTCAGCTGGCCAGGATCAGTGATGCTTCATTTGATGCCAATGGAGCTCTGTCTCCATACAGCAGCTCAGCACCCAGCCTTCTGACCTCAGTTTCCTGTGGTCAGAATGGTTTCCATGTGTTGCCATACAAGTCTGGTTACACATGTAAAAAGAGCCAATAAAGAGTCCTGTAAACTTTGTTGGGGGCACTGGTGAGCGGTGTAATTAATCCCTCAGCCTCATGTCTTATTAGGGCAACAGCACCTAAGTGCGACACTTAGTAATTTAATGGCCTTGCTTTTAATTTTGCTTTGTGGCTTTTTTTTTTCCCCTGCTGCTGCCTGAAGCCCTCTGCAGAAATTAGCATGGGCTGCTGCAGAACGTGCTGATTAACCAAACTTCCCTCCCTGCTTCGTTTGGCTCTTCCCAAGCTGGCCTAGGTTCTGGTAACTGCCTTAGCTCCTAAGCAGCTTGCACCTTTTACCAAATGTGTGTCTGTGCATGTTTCTATCCCCGGCCTGAGCCAGAATGCTACTGGAATGAAATCTGGGCCAGTGTTAACCACCTCCTTTATAGGAAAGGGTCTGAATGCAGAGCGGAGCCAGTGGCTTTAGTCAAGGCCCAAGATGAGGTTGAGAAAGCCCAGCCCCATTTGTCCTGTCCAGCTGCAGCTGCTTGGGGTCCAGGCCCCGTGGTGGTTTGTTTGTAAGTACCAGGCACACCAGTGACACGTTTGCATTTACCAGGTGAGTATCTCAGTGCTGTAGGACCTCCTTGCCTCCACCTCAGCATGGTGATACCAGCCCAGGCAGGTATATTTGCTTCCTTCAGTGATCCCTGCTACTCTCCAATGCATGGCCATACCTCTCTGTCCAAATCACCATGCTGGGCAGAAGGGAAGCTGGTGCGGCTGGGTTAGTCTCCCTTGTTATTCCCATCAAAAAGCTCTAAGTCTCCTTGGTGGTAAAGCCAGCACTCTTGTTTTCCTCACTGAGTTGAGAGTCAGCTTCATGAAAACTTTTAAAGCAGGAAGGATCCTCCTCTGTGTTTGAAATGCCCCTCTTCTGCCCCATTTCACAGCTCCCTTCCCTCCTCCTCCCGTCCTGTCCTTGCCCCTCTGAAATTGATCCTGGCCAGCCAGCAAGGAGACAGCCTAAGATACCCACTTTGCATGTGTGCCGTGCCATGCCATGAAGCCTCCCTAACAGCACTCTGCTACTGCTGTTCTCCCTGAGTCTAGCATCTCTGCTAGGAGCTTCCTCCAGGCTGCAGCATGTCAGTGCCAGTCACTGATCAGTGGAGTGTGGAGAGTCCTAGGAGAGGCTGAGGCACCATTGTGCTAGCACTAGGTTTGGGGGAGAATGGTTTTCCCACCCGGTGAGGATCTTTGGGTTTCAAAAAAATGTTCTTGCTCTGCGTTGGGCAGAATCCAAGACCTTGCAGAGCTTGGGTTTGTTTATTTGTTCCAATAAAGGGGAGGGGGGGGAGAGAGAATCAGCCCCAGTATAGCCAGTATGCTAATGGTGGGGATACTCTCTAGGGATGCAGGAAACCCAGGTTCAGGTCCTTGCTCTGTCATTCCTCTTCATTCCAGGAGTATGTCCTAGGCACCTGGCTGTTGGGTCTGCCAGAGCGGGCGGGGCATCTGACCAGAAATGCCACCCCAGACCACATAGAGTTCACTCCTTGGAAGTGTCCTCAAACCATCCTGTTCCATCTGGTTTCAATAAGTTGACATTTTCCAATCAAGAACATATTTCATTGAAAACGTCCTGCCTGGCTCTGTCATGCCTGGAAGAAGAGGATGACTCCTGCCCATGGAGCTGGGGCACAACAAACCAAATAGGCAGGGAGTGGGAGAAGAGAAGGATCAGCCCTCCTGTTTTATGGGACAGAGATGGATGCTTATAGAGGTGAACTGGCTTGGCCAGTGTCCTAGAAGGAATCTCAGACAGCAAGAAATCAAACACTGCTCACTGAGTTTTAGTCTGGACCTGCACTCACTTATTCATTAAAGCCTTTATCTTTGACCTCATACTGCTGTGGGTTAGTTTGCTGCTTGCTGGTTTCACCGGAGGCCTGGATTATGAGCCTGCTGTCTGCACTATGCTGCAGTCTGTCTCCGGTGGGCTGGTGCCGACTGCTTGCTCCTGAATGCATAAGGCCCACAGGGCTGACCTCTTTGGATGCAGCCCCCCTCCCTGAGTAATCGTCAGCCAGCTGCACTTGGGGCTGGGCTGACCTTTCAGACATGAATATTGTTACTAGCTACCTTTTTGCTAGGGAATTGGTTCTAATTGTGGAAGCTGTTCCAGACATTACATCTTACAAGCACTGTCATCGTCCCACGTGCTTTGCAATTTACTGAATACCAGCTGCAGGGCTGGGCATTGAAATGGCTGCTCAAATGGCAGGACTGGAGTGTGGCTGCCATACAGAGCTGAATATTGTCTATTCTTCTCAAAGTCGCAAGGAAAGCTAGGTGCTGCACTCTCGTTGAAGTTAACAGTCTCCTTGATCAGTGGTACAATGGCAAGGAGAGTCTGAATGGCCAGTGGGCTTCTCTCTTCCATATTCTGTGCTGAAGTATCTCACGTCAGGATTCTGTCTGCCTGGTGAGACCAGGGTCTCCAGGAGCTCAGCCTCAGATGCTTGTGCCTTTGCAGCATGAGATGTGTGAAGCTCAAGGTGGTAAGATATTTGCCAGTGATGCCCCTAAGGAAGGAAGTGTGGAAGGGGGATGCTGCTGTAGGCAGCAGATGTGCTGCCTGCTAAACAGCTCCACGTGCTTGCCCTGGTTATGTGGAGCTGGGGTCCTGTGCATGGCCTTGCAGAAATCCCCCAGCCAGCTTCACCCGCCTGCCTGTCAGCGCTTGGCTCAGTGCCCTCTGCTCTGTTGTAGGACTGTTGGAGCACAGACAAGTTTGCTTTGGCCCAGTCTGTCTCTCTGTTTCAGTGTATTTATTTAAAAAGATTGCAGCAGAGACCTTACCTGTCTTTCTAGCTTAATAGCTCGGGTCAGCTGCAGTCATTTAAAAACATCCTCTGGCAGTTCCGGTGGAATCGGGCAGCCTAGCCCCAGTGTCCAGGCTAACTCCCAACTTCACTAATTAGATTCTGCTGAGTTAAATCGTTATCTACACACACAACCCAGCTCATCACTTCACTGTCCTGCCATAAGCACCTTGGTACCATCAGTGCCCTCATTTTATAGAAATTAGAAAAAAATAATAATCCAAATGTTCAGTTCATCCCTGCCAGCTGGAAAGGACTGCTGTGCGTACCTTGTAAGGCAGAATGAAGGGCCAGAAGGGGTAGCCTTGATGGTATTTAATCTCTTTTTTCTGTCCTGTACTACCACATTGGGCCAGAATTGGTCTGACCACAGGATTAGGGTCAGAAAATTGCTGTTGCTGTGACAGGGTTCCCTCTATAGCCACAGGTGGAGCCCAGAGACCCTTCGTCTCAGCATCCCTACCCATGAAAGGGAGATCAAGTTACCTGCAGCCCCTCATGAGGAATCAGTTAACTTCTTTGGAGGGCCATAGAAAAGCTAGGAGGTCCTAGTCCAGGTGACTGAGCTGTTGCTGAATGACAGTGGATTTCAGTCTATGAGAGCTCTGTGGAAAATGAAAGTTAGTCACCTTGTTTCTCTCTTCAATCAGGTGGTGAAGGCAAAACTGGGAGAGTGATGGACATTCGTGGCTGGGATGTGGAGACTAGCCGAAGTGTGGCCAGTGTCACGTGGACTGATAGCACCACAAATGTTTACCGCGTTGGACACAAGGGCAAGGTGGACCTCAAGTGCATTGTGGACGCATTGGGTGGCTTTTACTACAAAGAGCATCTCCCAAAATTAGGTACGTGGCAAGTTAACTTTGGGCCATGGGCATCTCGTAAGAATCTACCAGAATTGACCATTTTGGAGAACGTGGCACTTGAGTTGTCCTGCTTTGGTAGAGAAAAGTTGGATGCCTAAGATTTCCCTATAATATGCGGCATTTAAAAGAACTTTTTGGTAACACCATGTTCTAATGGATTAGCTGGGACATCCAGCCCAGCCCTCCAGTGCTATGGGTGCTTGGTATTCAAACTAAATGCCCACACCAAGTCCCACTGATTGGAAGGGTTTGTGGAGACAGTGAGACATCACCTTGCCAGCCCAACTTTGTGAAACTGGTTTTGGAAGCTCCTTTTGTCCCAGCAGAGAATTTAGTTCATGCCTCACGAGTAAAGGGGGGGCTAGTTTTTCTTCTCCACCTGCTCCCTTTCCTCATTCCCCAGTTCGGATATACTTAAAGCAGTCGTATGGATGTTAAAGGAGCAACTAGCTGAGGTAGCTAACTCTGGGTGCATTTTGGGGGCTGTCCTTCTGTTCAGGAAAGCCAGCTGAACTGCAGAAGAAAGAGAGCACGGCTCGGCACCCTTTCCAGCACGGTGACAAAGTGAAGTGCTTGCTGGACGTCGATATCTTGCGAGAGATGCAAGAGGGACATGGGGGTTGGAACCCTAAAATGGCTGAGGTACGATTGCCTTCACTTCTGCTCATTGCTTCCCTCAGATAATGTACTGCTCCCTCTCTCATGCTTTTGTCGTACCATAGGAGATTGCTAGGACCTCCATGCATGTGGCATACTTCCCTCTAGTCAATGGAGCACATGTAATATCAAAGTTCTTCAGTGCTAGGGTGTTGGAGGTGCTTGTAAATCTGTAGCTAGGGACTCACTATCTGTATGCTCCTCCCAGGGCTTAGCCTGTTTTTAAATCTTTGTTTTATGAACCAGTCTGTTGTCCCTCGTTGTAGTCTACAGAAACTCAGGCTGTAGGTACCAGGACTGTAGATAACATGTCAGGGTAAATGGGCCTAGTTAATGGATCAATTAGAGTCATTCCAGGTACAATTCCATTTGTGGCAGACTGAGCAAGAAAGCTCGAAGACTTTGCAACCTGTCAGAAAATAGCGACTGCTAGTAAATGTTGTCATTACTGGGGAAACAAAAGAATCACTTCGAAGCAAGGGTGCCAAACACAGGCTCTAGACCCATTCTGTCTGGCCCACCTGGTAGGCTGCTGGAAGTTTGGGGGGCTTGGCCTGCCACAGAACTGGGCCATGGCCATCGTTAGCAGCCCTCCCTCCAGCTCTGCACTGCTGCTGAATGCAGCCCTGCACTGCTCTGCATCTCTGGATCCATGCTGCTGCTCAAAAGCAGCTCCATGCTGCTGCAGCCCCAGTCCAGCTCTGTGTTACCACAGGCCCCAGTTCCATGCTGCTGCCCAGCCAGAGCTCTGCACTGCCACCCAAATGTGGCCCTGGGCCATTGCTTGCCTCTGGACCCATGCTGCTTCCCGAATGTGGCCCTGTGCTGCTGTCTGTCCCTAGGCGTGTGCCACTGCCTGAACACAGTCCCACTCCAGTTGCTGCTGGACCCATGGATTAAGCCTGGGAGCAGCCCCTGTGGCCCACATCACCCTGGGGCCTGGAGTTAGTTTGTCATCCCTGACTTAAAAATGCCTGATCTTGCAACCCTATCATTGTGAGTGCTCCCTTAGTCACCTTCTTAGTCTCAAAGTCTGCTCGCACAAGTTAGTTGTTCAGAGGCCTGGGCCACTAGCCAAAACCTTCAGCCTTACATGCCAAAAGCTACTCACCCTCACTGAACTCTCATCATCTTCCAAGGTGCTGAGCACCTTTGTCTCCAGCCAACTGGGAACTGGGCTGCTCAGCAGTTCTGTATCTGTTCTATGAGGCCAAGGTTCAGGGTCATGATTGTCAGTCTTGCCATTGTACTCAATGAAAGCCAGGGTCTAACTGCAGCCCTGAGTAAGGCAGATCTGCAAATCTCACCTGTGATTTACAAATCAGAATCTAAAGACCAGTCAGCTCTTGGGTATAATGTTCAGCTTCAAGGTCCCCACATGCACGCTGAATGCAAAATTAATCAGTTGCCATTGAGTTAAATGGGGAAATCTATCCTTTACCTGCCCTGACAAGTCCGTTCAGTTAGATTTAATATTCAGCAGAGGCTGCCAGAAATAGATAATGTTCCCTTAGTAAATAGACCATCAGACCTTGAAGAAGGGGTCTGAGCAGTGTCACTCTTCAGCAGTAAATTTAGTGTGGGGCAATAATATTCATTGACCTCCCCTGTATAAATGAAATTCATCCTAGTTCTGATGCTGGGCAGTCTCTCCAGAGGTCTGCGTGATGGAACTGAATGAAAGTAATGCACTGAGGAGAGGGGGGTTTAGAATAAAACAGGACACAGGGTGCTTATATATATCACATTTGTGTCCAGGGCATCATGCACAAGGCAGGTGTGATACAAGCTGAAGCAACCCCATTGAAGCTTTGGGATGGGAAACCCCATTATTTATTTTTTGCTGAAACATTGACATAAATAAGCTGTAGCTTTGTACAGGTGAGCAGTCTTTTTTCTAACTAGCGCCAAAAGGCACTCGGTCAAATTACATCCCTTCATCATTCATTGCTATGCAGCTTGACAAGCTCTGTTGTTTACTAATCAGTCCCTCTTTTGGACAACATGGAGGGGGAAGTACTTCCAGATAATGTAAATTGCTGTAACTCCATCCATGGAGAGGCAACAGTTTATGCCAGCTGATGTTTTGCCCCTGGAAATGCAGGCTAAAGTGTTGCTGTGGGGGCTAATACAGGCCACCCCACCCTCGTTCAACCTGAGTGTATGATGACTTCCATAGCTTGATGCAGAACTTGGATCTAGCTGATGAAACTCGTAGAGCTGTAGTCAGTATGGTTTTTCTTTGGCACATTTGTGGAGCTATCTCAGAGCTACTGCCTGCTGACAAGTTCTGTAAGTCACAGACCCACACCGTGATAATTGAAATGGAAAGGTCTCTTGCTACAGCAGGGTAGGAGCTCCCTTGTGCTGCCCATGCCCCTCCCTCCACTGCATTTTCTCTCTGATGTTAAATTGCTGCACTTCACTGTAGTCATTGCTCATCTGCACCAGCTGTTGCAGGTAGTGGTAATTTTCTACCCTGTTTTGCAGGCACTGCTTTCTGCCCCCTCCCCCCATAAGCCCAGCTTTCTTTTTATAATGAGGAGTCGTCTCCTTTCATGAATGAGCACGTGGCTGCATCCTCATTAAATTCAGCCTGTGACTTGGAATGGAGACAATAGCTAATTTTGGTGGCAGACTTCTTTTCCTTGGAGAGGCTCCTTCCCCTCCCTAAAACAATGGCATTTATTGTATTCTCTTTTTCTCCTTATCATTTCAAGTTCATTGGCCAGACAGGCACTGTGCACAGGATCACAGACCGAGGGGATGTGAGGGTCCAGTTCAACAGCGAGACCCGATGGACTTTCCACCCAGGAGCCCTGACCAAAGTGAGTGCTGCTGTGTGAGCCTGGCCAGGACAAACAGCTGGGCAGAGGTTGACATGCACTCTCTCAGCAGTGGGGGGATGACTTGATTGGTCTTGGTCAGGGGCCAAAGAAAAGGGCGGGTGGAGAGCAGGGTCAGCTATTCATTCCTTGTGAGGCCAAGAATAGCCATTGCAGACCTTGTGACCGCTAAGTTCTTTAGGTCTTCACTGGGATAAAACCTTGGTTTTTTGAGCTGAAGTCTGCTAAGAGGCTGGTGTTCAAGGGGAGGAGAGAGGCTGGTAACTGGAATGGCATGACCCTAACACTCAGCTCCTACAGCAGGAGGCTGATATGGGTAGGAGAAACATGGGAGTCAGGGGCAGGTTCCTCTCTGTTCAGCAGCCTCTTAGGAGCTGTGCACAGGTTGGCTCTGCAGCCAAAATCTTCTGAATCAGAGGCAAAGGAGCAGGAAGGCTGCACCTTCCTGAGAACAAACAGTTTGATCTCTGCCACTCACACAGCTGAAAGGTCACTGACAGGCAAAATACCTTTATCAAATAAAGTCTAATGCTGCCCCTGCAGGAGTTGGTGGCCGAACTGCTGTTGGCTTTGTACAGGATCTAGGTTAAAGGCTGCTATGCTGCACTGGAGTTGAAATGTCCTCCTTATCATACCTGGCAAGCGTCTTCTTCCAGCTCCTTCAGACCTTTCCATGCAGGTGACCTGCAAAATGAAGGGTTGGGAATGAGGCTCGAGTGTGACTTAGCTTCCGTATGACTTTGTGCAAAGGGCTAGAAGACTTCTTGCCTGATTATATTCCTCTCTGGTTTTGCATTGGAAAGTCAAGGCCCCTTCACCCTTGGCTGACTCCTCGGTTACTGGAGGTTGAGTGGAACGATGACATTGTGAAACTGAAGATTAAGCAATGGGACGGGAAGGGAATCTGCAGTTTCATGGGGGCTGTATGTATTAATTCCTGTTTTACACCAGTGACCAACCAGCATATTAGCCGGGGAACTGTTGCTGTTATTTCAGTGACAGCACTTTCCCCTGAACATGTGCTGTAGGACAAGCAGGGGGGTTTTCATCAGCCCTGGGAGAGTCCTTCCTGTGAACTGTCAGACACTATTTAAGAAACAGGCAGGAACACAGAAAAGGAACCAGACCTTGACAGTTTGTGTTTAAGCCTTGCCTCTTCACATGCTTTGCATTCCCTTTTGCCCATCAGTAACTTCCCTTTACCTGTCTCTGTCAGGGTATTGGACCCTGACCCTTAGCCTGCCTACTCTTGGGGAAGTGAATGTTCTTCATCTGCTTAGACAGAGCGTGGTAGACACCCAGGGATGGTATCAACATGCATTTGTTCTTGCCAGCAAAGAGATCTGGGCCCCAGTTCAGGAAGGGGCCCACACCTGTGGTACAGGGCTGAGGAGTTCCTCTTCAATTATCATGACCCCCCCTGTCAGTGAGGGGGACCCCAAGGGATTCTTGGCACCCGGTGATCCAAGAGAGGACAGGTCTGAGATGGCAGGTCACCTTAGCTGGGGCTTCCCCTCCCTAGCATCAGCTTGAACCTCACAAAGGCATCTCAGCCTCTCGCTCCCTCTCATCCTTGCATCCTTCAGCTGCCTCTCTCTTCACCGCAGGGTCTCTGTGCTCTGTTGCCTTGTCTCTGCCAATGTCTCTTCTACTCTGTCTGGCTTCTCTAATAATAGTAATAACAATATAATGAATACACTGCCTTTACACAGCCCCTGTTATCTTCAGAGCACTTTTTACACCCTGCAATGAATTTTTCTTTCTCTCTTTCTTGTTTTCATGTTTTTTTCTTGCCATGTTCTTCAGCCACTTCCAGAGTCCTTCTCTCCATCTCTGCCTAACTTCTCTAGATACAGGTCTTCTAGGCTTGGGTCTCTGTTTCTAAAGTCAAGGGTTCTGATCTTTCCCTGGGTGTCTGGGCCATGACAAAGTAGATAATTTAAACCTCAGCACGTGATGTATATGAAGGGCACAGAACGACCACAGGCCCCACACAGTGGAAAGGGATCATCTGTCCAAGGAAGGAAATAGCTGAGCTCTGACTTGCATTTCTAGTGGAAGTAATGAACAGAGTTAATGCTGGTATCGGGAGAGCAGAGATATTCTGTGTGCACAGGATTGCGAACAGAGGTCAGCCTGATCCAGGCTGACCTCTGTGCAAACACAATCACTGGTGAGCTGCAGCCAGAGAAAATGGTGCCACTCCAAGCTCTCTGCTCTGCATAATCTGCACTTGGCCTATTTTAAGGAGCAAAGTGGTGAAGTTTCTGCCAAGCGTAGAGCTCTGAGGACTTTGCTGGAAGTGGGGGGGCACTCTTTTGAATGCCTTGTTGCTGGTCTTCTGGTTTCATCCCCCCAAGCTTATGATTTTCTTTTTCTTTTAGCTCAACACCTTTTGGGTGGATGATGTTGTCCGAGTGATAGATGATATGGAAACAGTGAAGCGATTGCAAGCTGGTCATGGGGAGTGGACAGATGAGATGGCACCTGTGAGTGCGCGCCAGCTCCGAGACAGTCCAGTAACTTGCTAACTTTTCAAAAACAGATTAGCAGTAACAGCTGGGCTGGTCAGCTGCCCTGCTCTTCACCACCTCTTAGTGGTCGGTGCCTGGAGACATATGGGCATGCAGATGCCTTGCAAAAGAAATGTTACTTAATGTGACTGGTCATTGGCAACATGGCCTTACAGCGACATTCAAACTATGGGCAAAAGGGAGGAGGGAAAGCTTGCCCATGGAGGTGGTCACCAGGGGACTTATGATGCAAATCCATTAACCAGGCACAAGCAATCTTAGTGCCTTCTCTTATTTCCTCCTTAATTCCCAGGGCTGAGGGGGGAAAGCACAAATAGCAAATGATCTGATCAAACCAATTGTGGTTAAAGAGCAGAGTCTAGAGTGCTCCATCAGCACAGTGGAGAGCCCCAGTCTGGTAGGGTTTGGTACACCATGCTTTGCTGTTTCACTGGCTTCCTCCCCAGACGTATTGCATTGCGTCTTTGGGGACCCTCTTCCCCTGCAGCGTGGAAAGGCAGCTGTACAGCCAATAAACAAGAAGCCGATGCGAGCACTTACCTGTCCACGAAAGGGGAGCTGCCAGCAGTAGTGTGTCACTGATCAGTGCCTCTTCATGTGCTGGGAAGGCCATCTGGGAACTCGCCCTTAGAAATGGGGCCTTGGCTGAGAGATGCAGGAAATGCATCCACTCCAGGGTCTTTAAAGCCTCTCTCTTCTTCCCATTGCAGACACTAGGGCACATTGGCAAGGTGATCAAGGTCTTTGGGGATGGGAACCTGCGGGTGTCTGTCGGAGAGCAGTCCTGGACCTTCAACCCAGCTTGCCTCACAGCCTACCAACGAGATGAGGATGCCAACCTCATGACAACGGAAAACGCCAAGGAGTCAAAAAGTGAGTGGGCACCCAGAGGCCTGGCCCCCCTCCATCTAGGCTTGAGAAACACCTGCTGGGGATCTGTAGCACAGTAGCTGCCCTTCTCTGCAGGTCAGGTGGGAACCTAAATACTTGCATCCCCCTTTCCACTAAAGCACAGTCAGGGGAGCTGAGAAGTTACGGCACAGCAGCGTGTAGGGCCTCTTTGTTCTGCTCCAGGTTGTCACTGGATCACTGTTTTGACCATAGGCAAATAGCATAACCCTGCCATCCCCCAGTTTCCTGGTCCTTAGGGTGGGCATAATAATGCTGCTCTACTTCATTGGGGGTAAGAGTTAATTCATGAAGATTTAACTTGTTAATGTTTGTAAAGTGATTTCAGACCCTTACCAGGCTCTCTATGGACAGCATTATTTTGCCTAGGCCATGCTGCATCCTGTTTGTGTGAGCTGCATTCTTGTTCTGTTTTCTCTGTCTATTCATAGACGTTTTGTGGCCTCTCTGTGATTTTTCTGAGCAGGCAGGAGGGCGGGATGGCATAGGAGGTAGATACATACATAGATACTCATGCTCTACCTTGAGCAAAGGTATCAAATTCATCTGGCACTGTGAGCCAGATGAGCAGCATAGGGCTAGCCCCACAGGTGAGATCAGGCCCATGGACATGCCCTGCTCCCATATGCTGGATCCAGTCCCTGCAGTGCCTGCTTCAGCCAATCCAGGATATGAACTCAAGTCCCACACCAGCTGGAGTGGGCACCGAATGCCGCACAGTCCAAAGCCAACCAGAGCAGTGCTCCATTTAGCATGCATGGGGCCCCTGCTACCTCCCTCCCCTGCTTGGTGGATCTGGTGCCCGTCTTCGCTGGTTCAGGACTGTGCCACATATGGTGCCTACCTCCAGACCCACAGTGGGCACACAGCCTGCCCCAGGGAGCAGCTGGGGGGGACAGTCTGGACTGGCCCCATCTGGGTGCTGCGCATGTCTCAGGCCGATGTGCAGGGCTACTTCAGTGCACACTGCACATGGCATCTGGGTCAACTTGAGACCCAAGGCCAAAAGAGGGGGCCAAATGATGTGGCTCTTTAGGCCGGATCAGCCTGTGGGCCATATCTTTGACACCCCTGATCTAGTGCATTCATCCAGTCTTGTGAGAAACATTTGGATCCATTCAGGAACCTGGTGCTGAATCTTGTCTGAGTTTGAGCAAGGTTCAGGTTTGGATCCAAGCTCCTTAGCTCTGCCCTGTCTGATGGAAACAAACCCCTGGAGCTCCCTTCAGGCACCACGAATGGAGACCACGTCTGAGGTGCTGTGGTCAGGATTTTCCCCTCACCTTCAGAATATGAGTTTTTTATTTTCTTACAACTCCACCTTTCCCTAGAACCAGGAATCCATGTTCAGAATACTGGTTGCATGTATGTAATTAACCCCTAGGACTGTTCCTAGGATCTCTGGAGCTAAATACACAAGCCTCTCTGGCTCTGGCTAAGGCACAATGGCCTGTAGCCAGGGGCCATAGCAGGTTTGTAACACTCTTTATGCAGGCCTGTCCATTGGGGGAAGCAAAGGTCTGCACTGATAATGCAGGCTGTGCTCTCCATGCCACTGCATAACCTGGGGCTGTTTCTCATTCTTACCCAGGCACTCTGATCAGCATCCTGGAGAAGCTGCTCTCCCAGAAGGCAGAGTCAGATCACCCAGGGCGCTTGGTCCTCGAGGCAGCACATGGCAATGCTGCAAAGGTCCGGGACCTGGTGCAGAAGTACCCTGACAAGGCAAGGCTGAGAGGACCCCTGCAAGGCCCAGGGGGCATTTATTGCCTGGCTGTAAAGCCTCTGCAAAAGGGCGGGGGCAGGGGACAGAGGGGTGTGCAGCTAAACCCTTATGTAAGCTGCAAACAGCTGGCAAGTGATTTTTCCTTGAACTGAAGATTACATTTGCATATTTCGTAGCCTAAATTAATGACTCTAAATCTGTGCTGGAGTTAAGTACTCACAGCCAGTTTCTGAAGCTGGCTGCTCCCAGGAGTTATTCTCGTCACAGAAGGGCTGACTCCAGAGCAGAGCTAGGCATGTTCGTACTCAACACAAGCGCCGTGCGTGGCAGGACAGCCGAGTCCCAGGGCTTCCCTGGGGGCCCAGAGCTGGCAGCTGCAGCGCCTGCCCCTGAGTTGAGAGGCTCTGGTTCCCCAGTGGGCAGAACTCCCCTGGGTCTGCTCAGGTGCTCAGCTGGAAGCATTGTCCAGCGGCTAGAGCAGGGGGGTGGGGAGTTGGGGGCCTGGGAGCTGTGTGCTGTCAGCTGGCTGGAACTGTAACCTCTGGTGAGCCCCTGAATCCTGTCTGATCGTGACAGAAGGAGGCATCTGTTCAAGGTGCCAATCCCAGCATCATATACATGAATGCAGAACTATTCTACTGTAGCAATGTGCCCTGTAGCCAGGGCCTAGATCGCGTAGTCTGGATCCTTGGGTTCTGTTCATGCCTCTGTTACTGACTTGCTATGTGACCTTGGGCACATCACATTGCATCTCTGAGGCTCAGGTCCTTTATCTCAGGATCACCACACCTTTCTGCCTGTGCAAATATCTGCTGATGACAGAGGCTACACAAGATGCTCTTTCTATGCATATGTGCTGAGGCCTCCTGCAGTACATGCATAATCTGTATGAGTTGTGGCTGGCGTGCAAGTACAGCTACAGGGGTGTTTCTGAATGACTTGGGCAGTGCTTTTACAGCCAGGAGCCAGGCTGTTGAGCTCTCCTCTGCTCTGATCCCTCCCTCACTCAAAGAGGACCCAGCTGCTTTAGCAAGGGGTAGAGTCTGCAAGTGAGAAAGGAGAGAGCAGAATGCTTCAGCACAGTGTCCTTGGAGGGGAGCATAAATTATGGTGAGGCAATAACCCAGGGGCAGACAGTTATTTTGGGCAGAGGGCTGCTTACTGAGTTTTGGCAAGCCATCAAGGGCCGCATGATAGGCAGCCAGGGGCAGATGAATATTAATTTTCTAAATTTTTTAGGGGCCCTGCGGGTCAGATAGACTAGCCTGGTGGGCCACATCCGGCCCCCAGGCTGCATTTTGCCCACCCCTGCTATAACCACGCATCACCAGGGAGGGCAGGTTGATGGACCAGTAGCAGTGCTGGAATCTGTTCTATGGAGACATCAGCAATGTTGAGAGCCACGGTCTGATTTAATGGTTTGCCAGACCATTATTTTGGCTTGTTATCTATCCACAAAGCTGACCAGGCCAGTAGAGATGGTGAGTGGACCTGTAATGGAGTATAAGAAGTATCCAGGCACCTGTGACTGGGACTAAGGTGTCTGCAGTGGGTGAGCATCAGGGGTCAGGAATAGTCTCACTTTATCCCAAGACCTTAGATCTGTATTTCTCTTCTGCCAGTTTGTTCCAACTGGCAAGAGACAAATGGAATTGTAAGCTGGCGAAGCAAAGACAGGGAGTGTTGGTCTTAATCCATCCTCACCTGGCCTACTTTCTTAGCAGCACTGCCCAAGAAGAAACCCCGCCTGACCTGCTTCTGTGACCAATGCATAGGATCAACTGCAGAAAAACTCCCTTTTCTGTACTTGCCAGGGCACTGAGGCTTTGCCAGCTCCCCAGTCACTCCCCCTGGGCCAGTCATTGATTTCATTACCTTCCTTGCCCTCCTGTCTTGGCCTCGCATACAGCGCCCTTTTGTTCGCCAGCTCTTTTAATCCTTAAAAATCTTGTAGCAGCAGCTTAGTCCTATGATTCACCATCCACACATTGTACCCAGTATGGAGACCAGAGTGACTTAAAATACTTTGCATGTACTTTGTCACCAGAGCCCTATGCGTTATTTCATCTTCCCCTCCTCTATGAAAGAGGGAGACACAGTCAGCATGGTCCCAGAGAGAGCTGGCATGAGAGGAGGGATTAGAGCCCAGGTGTTCCTGGCTTTCCAGGTATATGCTAGCCCTGCTCTCTAGTCAATGCAAAGTGCTGTCCTCCTACAGCCCAGGGATACTCTGAACAGGAATTGCTTTTTCTTTTGCATTTGTACAGCACCCAGTGCAGTGGGACCTCTTAGTGCTTCTGGGCACCACTGTACTGCAGCTAGCCATGGACTCACTCTGCCATCTGGTTACACAGAGAGCAATGCTGCCCTGGGATCCGGGAGCTGGGGTTTCCAGAGCACAATCTCCTGGAACAACTCTGTGCCTTGTTCTTTCTGCTCTCATAGGTCGACATTAAGAACCAGGGCAGAACTGCGCTCCAGGTGGCAGCCCACCTGGGCCGGGTGGAGGCTGTGAAGGTCTTACTCCAAGCTCATGCCAGCATTGACCTGAGAGATGAAGAGGGGGATGCAGCACTGCATTATGCAGCTTTTGGGTAGGAACCAGGTCATGACCTCACTGACTCTCTCTGCTGAGGGCCAGAGGCTCATCTGTAAATGTGGACAGTGCTGGAGCTGAACCACCAGCCCAGAGAGGTGGGAGCCAGCCCCAATCTATACTGCTGCACAAAACTATGGCAGCTCAGAATTTGGCCCTACAATACCAGGGGCCACACGTGGTTTTGTGAAGCACTGATCCTCAGGGGAAAGTCAGTTCTACATGGTACAGTCTCCTTGGGACTAAATGAGGATTTGGGAATGTGAAAGGAAGCAGATGATGGAAATTTCTTGGGTTCCTATTACAAAAATGTACTTGCAGTCCAGAGGAAAAAACAAGGCTGAATTCTGCCTTCTGCTACCCTGCTGGCAATCTAGACCAGCTCCATCAAGGCCAGTAGGACCTTGACTACCCTGGCTCTTCACCAGGATAACAGTCTGGGCTCCTACTAGGCAAGCTTTTTAATTGGAGGTGGGGTAGAAAACAAGTGCAAGAACCAAGACAGGATGTTGCCGTGGAGAAAGAGAAATGACATCCCATGATCTTGGCATCCCGTTTCTCTCTCCTTCTGAATTCAGGAACCAAGCGGAGGTTGCCCGCTTGCTCATGAGCAAAGGAGCCAACGCTGACCTGCTGAATAATGCGAAGTGCACAGCGCTGTACGTTGCAGTCAACAAAGGATTCATGGAGGTGGTGCGGGCCCTTTGTGAGCATGGCTGTGACGTCAACCTCCCGGTAGGCCATTTCACTTTTATGCCTCTTGTGGCTGCAGGCTTTTTTTCGACTTACATTGAATATGGTATTAGATGCCCAGCATTTAATGGTGTACCTTTGTGTTGAACATGGCACAAGCAAAATGCACCCTGGATTTTGGCGTGGAGCATTCTGCTCCTGCGCCTTCCTGGTATTCCAGGCTGCAGCCATTTTGTTACACTGGCATCCTCTGAGAGTGATCCAGGGGTTGAGTCTGTCTCTGCCCCTTGCCTCCACCGGGTCCTTGGGAGTGGTGTATTTGACCAGAGGCTTTGTGACGTAACCAGGGCTCTGCTATGGCTTCTTCTGGCAGGACTCATATGGCGACACCCCCCTGCATTATGCTATCACCACAGACTTCAAAGGCGTCATTGAGATCCTCACAGAAGTACCGAACATTGATTTCACCGTCCAGAATCGCCAGGGCTTTAACCCACTGCACCACGCTGCTCTGAAAGGAAACAAGCTGTAAGTGACAGGAAGCTTCCTGCATCCTGCTTTGTCCAGGCTGCAACTGATGTCCCTGGGGCAGGAGTGGGGAAGGGATAGGAGGTGAGGGGTGGCCTGGGACAGCCAGGGTGCTCTCCCCATATACGGTGGGGCAGATGCCTGGGAGCCATTCGCAGATCAGCAGTGATAGGGGAAGTCACTATCTGTTACAAGGCTTCAAGCAAATTCCCTGCTTTGCTGGGGATCAGTGTAGCACCACAGCTGTGATCACAACGGCAAATTCCATGTGCTGGGAGGCCACTGTTTTCCTAGGGTAAAGGGATGGGAAGGAAAAGCCTTTGGAGGGGATGCCTGAATGCTGAGGACATGAAATTGTACAGAGCAGCAGACCTGCTCCAGCAGACTTCAGCTTGCTCAAAAAGACCTTCCCCTTCCATTTGGCCCTGCCCCAGAGTGAGTCTTCTCTCCTGTGGGTGCGGGAAGGAAATCCCTTCCTCAAAGAGCTGAGTTCCCTGACAGAAAATGCCCCCCACCAGCCATGGAAGCCTTCCCAGTTGCATGCTTGATGCCTACAACTAAAACCTTTGGAGCAATTTAGTATTCTGTACGTTTGTCTGGCAGCCAGAGCCTCATGAAAGTGCCACTCCAGGCCCAGCTTCAGCTATGTATGTTGACAGATGACACTGAAGTCAAGTGTATACCAGGAAGTTTTTCTGGTTAAAGGGCTGGTTCTTAGACAGCAAAAATCACCAAGGTAGATGCAGTCAGAAAAATCCCTTTGTTGGTCCCTTACTCCACTTGAGGAACTAGTATAAATAGCATCCCCACTAGTTGGAGTTGTACCAGCCAAGCCCTTCCAGCAGAGACAATGGCACTCTTTCCTCTCGTCTTTTCCCAAGACTGAGAGATTCTTATAAATGTCAGTATAAGGACAAAAAATAATTCTGTTGACATCTCTGAAGTCCAAGAGAAACATTTTCTAATGCCTGGCACTCAAAGATGGGTTCATTGAGATGATGGTTATGAAGTTTGTATGGCCCTGAAGAGACCTCAGTATCCACTTCTCAGAGAAGGCAGAAAAGCTGGAGGGAAAATGTACTGAATTGCTGATGCTAGAACAAAGGTAAACATGCAGCCCTTTGAAAGTAAGACATAGAAACTGTTTACTTTGCTCTGATTTTTTGCTTCTCATGGTTTATAAAAAGAACCAACCTGTCACTATGAGGTTTCTCTTACCCAAGAAACTCATCAGCTGGTTCCTCTGCTATTTCAGTTATCTGGTAAAAAATTCCACATAGAATTTAATACCCCAAACTAGATGAGTGCATTGGGCTAAAATCACTGCTAGTGTGAACAGCTGCAGTTTTAGAGCCAACAGAGAGAGCTATGTCGAACTGGTATCGGCAAAAATGTGGCCTTTGGTGTCCTTTTCCTTTTAAGTGTCATCATGTTGAGGAGCTGAATCTCCCTTCCCAAAGGACTCTGTGCACTGAGGCTTCTTTACTTTGGTAGAAGACAAGCTGCTTTTCTGCTTGCTGCCTCCTACAAAAGGAAAATGTTCCTTATGCTTCTGTATTTACTGGGTTAAAACGTGGGGAGTGGTTCTCCAGTGTATACACCTCCTGTGCCTCTGTCCTATAGGTGGGTGAGGTTTATTACCTTAAAACTCCTTTCCTTGCCCTCAGTCTCTCTCCCCACCCCAATCCTCCAGTTGCCCGTACTGACCCTAACTTCAAATCCTGTGGTGAGCTCTCACTGCTCCTCCACAGTCTTGGTTAGGATAACAAGGGGAAAGACTAGGGCTGTGTGAAATTTCAGCAGCTGTTTTGTTTTGGAGGTGTTTTGGGCCCTTTCAGGGCCCAAAACACCGAATCCGAATCAAAATGGAAGGCTTTGAAACGTTTCGGAGCTGGGCTTGCAGGGAAACAAGGAGAGGGAGGGGAAAGAGAGGGGGAAGGGCTGCTTTGCTATGGACATCTAGCTCTTGGTTCGATTCCCCAGCTCTCTGATCACTTCCCCCAGCTCTTCCCAGAGTGCACAGCCCCCAGATCTGTGTGCAGGGTTTCAGCAGGCTGGGGCCAGCGGCAGCTGCTTGGCGCAACCAGTGCCAAGTGCCAGGAAGACTGTGGTGCTACCACTAGCCCCAACCTGCAACGGCAGCCTGCTGAAACCCAGCATGCAGAGCCAGGGGCCATGCTGCCTGGGAAAAGCTGAGGGAATGATCAGAGAGGCGGGGAATCAAACAGGGAGCTGGGAAATTGAGCCAGGGGCTGGAGAAACGAACAGGTTGGCTGGGGAATCGAACCCGTTTCATGCAACCCTGGGAAAGACTGGACTAAATTTGCCCTGGGTGTGTTGTGCAGGTTAGGGGAAGTGCCACTTTAGATACAAACAGGCATTGTGAGCTTATCTCAAGCCATTAAAGAAAAATCAAGGGCCCTTGCTGGGCTCTCCTAACTCAGTATGCAAGATGGAGCTCAATCAGCCTCAGCCACAGACTCCTTTATCGTCTTAGGAGCGTTCATAAACAATGAGCAGAGGAGGCAGGTTGGTGTCTTCTGCATCACTCGCCTTCTTGGTAAGTAATGCTCTGTCCTCTGGTTCTACTTCTTGTCTCCCCAGTGCCATAAAGAAGATCCTGGCAAGAGCCCGGCAGTTGGCTGATGCTAAGAAAGAAGACGGCTTCACCGCCCTGCATCTCGCTGCCCTCAACAACCACAAGGAAGTGGCAGAAATCTTGATTAAAGAGGTAAAGAACTGTCCTGAGAAGCAGCAGGAGGATGTGTCAGGTCATTGCCACCTCTGGCATTGTTCTGCAGGGAGATTTGTGCTGTGTAGGGCTTAAAGCAGAGAAGCTGGAACTGCCTAGGCTGGCAGTGGCAGGGAGTGGAGTATCGTAAACTGAAACAAGAAGGAGTTAGGGTTGGTTGGGAGACTGTGCGTCTAGGGGTTTGGGAGCAGAGGAAAGGACACCCCAGGAAATTCCCTGGGATGTGGCTAACACCATTGTCCAACCCCTCCTCTGCCTCATGAATGCTGTAAGTGCTGGGCAGCTCTCCCAGTGTCCCTCTCTTCTCTCTTGTGAAACATTTCTAAGGGACTCCATCCTGCTCTGCTCTACAATAACAAGAATCATAAATCATTTTGCTCCCCAGAGCTCTCGTTTTTAGGCAGCCCCTGATGAGATGCTTTTCTGGCCCCTTGGGGGCAGTGCTCTCTAACCATGAGAGCAGGGAATTGCAAGTCAGGAAATGAATCCAAGTTTTGCCAGACTTCAACACAGCCAAGGCTTTGGGAAACAGCATTGCAGAAAGCAGTGGCTAGATCTGGGACTCCAGGGATTGGGTTGCAACTGGCACCAGCCTATTCTCGTGCCTTGATTTCCCCATCTGTACAGCAATGGATACCTAGGTACAGTGGTACCATCTTGGACTGATGATGGGCGCTGGTGCCTCAGAACGAGTCACAGTGCTTGTTACCAGAGCAATCTCCTTGGGGAGAGCACTGTAGCAGGATGATTTCATTGTTTCTGGTACAATCCCCTTGTTATACCACCTGCTCCTTAAAGGCCAACTGTATTTCCAATTCCACCCTTTGCAGTCTCAGTGCAGGGGAGAATAGCCCCCTGGGCCCAGCGCAGGATAACCTCTCCCAAGGGGCTCATGTTTGCTGTGTCCTGTCTGTCGCAGCAGGGAGCTTTTCCTATTATTCTCTCCAAGGGCTTGTGGGAAACTGAAGCACACAAAGCAATCGGGGGTCTGCCTTGCTTTGTAATGCTAAGGAGCTAGTCTTTGACTGCCTGTCTGGATTCATCCCAGCCTTCCACATGTGAGAGTTGAGCAGTTTACTAGCTGTCACATCCAGATCCTTTCCAGCCAGGAAAGTAAATTCCTTTGGACAGTCCTTGCACTTGTTTGTGTCCAGTCCAGCCAGTGCTTTAGCACCTGACTGTCCTGACTCCTGGTCTGGTGGCCAGATCACTTTGCAACTCCCCTGGGCGACTCTGTATCCCCCTAGGGACTGCAGTGTGCAACCCCCTGTGCTGCTTTTGCACTGAGAGAGGGTTGAGGCAGGTCCCCTCCCTGAAGCATGCACCAGTTTGCCTGCTGCTTTGCAGTGACCCATCTGCTGGGCTGTTTCCTTTCTTCAAGGGCCGCTGTGATGTAAACCTCAAGAACAACCGGAACCAGACCCCACTGCACCTGGCCGTCACACAGGGGAATGTGGAGATGGTGCAGCTGCTGGTCAGTGAAGGCAGCGATGTCAATGCTGAGGATGAGGATGGGGACACGGCTATGCACATTGTCCTGGAGCGACAGCAGCTCATGTCCATCATGTTGGAGGAGCAGGAAGGGGACGAGGGACAGTCACTCTTCACCATGGTGAGGGACGGGGGTGTTGCCTGATGTCACTGGAATGACCCTGAACAGTCACACAAGGAGAGGGGAGATGGTCTCCTAAGGTTTATTTCCAGCTCAGAGTGGGATGGGGGAGAGAGTGCATTATCTTAAAATAACCCAGGGGCCGAGGGGTCCGGGTGCTTGTTTGGGACCCGGAAAATTTGTCTTGGGGACCCAGGTTTGGAAGAGGGCTATAAACCTTGGTCTCCAAAGGCTGCTTGTGGTAGGAGGGGGCTGCCCTAAAGCAAATAGACTGCAAACTCTGTACATGCATCTTGCAGGCCTGAGAACTGAGGCCAGGTGTTCAGGACCTTACCTATGATGAGGGCCCCTGCAAGGATTAACAGAGACTGTTTCTCTCCCTTGCTCAGCTAAAGGCATCAGGCTTCCTTGGGAACACAGAGCTGAATGTTGGCTCTGCAATTGCCTGTTACTTGGCACAAGAAGGAGCGGACATTAATTACGCCAACCACAGGGGAAAGTCTCCGTTGGACCTCATCGCAGATGGCCGAATAATCCTGATCATCAAGAACTTCGCCCAGAAATTCAGGTAGACTGTAGAGCAGGACCCATCTCTCTTCCCCGAGCCTATAACCACAAGCCACACCACTCCCAAGGAGGCCTACCTCTGGCCAGGCTATGAGCTCCCACCCCTGCTGCAGTTGATTTCAGTGATGGGCGGTCACTTCGTTCCAGGAGGAGCTCAATGCCCAGCAAAGTCAGGGTGAGGTCAGAACTTGCTGTCAGTCACCAGCCTTTGGCATCTCCCTGCCTCCAGTCTGACCCCTTCTAGTTTCTAGCAAGCTGGATGTTGGCACTGAGTCCTCAGGCTCATGTTCTAGTCAAGACCAGTAGCTCAGGTGACCAAGAGCCTCTCATTTCTCTGACCAGGGACAGTACTGCATGTAAGACCAGCCTCCTACTGCACCTCTCTGCCATACCACCTGAAACGCATCCTTTTATAGTTCCTCTGCTCTCTATTCCCCATCTCTCATACCTGCGGGTGGAAGTGAGTTTCTGAGCCGCGCATCACTGGTGCTGACCTTTTACAGGGCACTTCTGGGTTTCACTCTACTCTCACACAGCCAGCCCAACGAAAGGGCAGGAGGAGAGGAACCCCAAATACAGAGGCCTCTCAGCTTGAACAGTAGCACATTTTTGAGCTGGAAAAAAAGCATGATCCCTGCAGCAGCAAATAGAGCTGTTATCACCCAAAAGCACCACTGCCATCTCTCTTGCCACCCAGTCCCTCTCTTCTTCTCCATCTATAGGCCAAGCCAGTGCCCCAGCTATGGGCACCTCCATCCCCATAAGCAGAACCCCACCAGTTCACAGCAGCCCAGGAGCTGCTGCTCAGTGTGCATAGAGCACCTGCCCGTACCTCTCGTGATGCAATGGGTGGGGTGAGGGCCCTGAGGAGAGGCTGTCCAGCTGCCTCCTGCATCCCCAGGGCAGCTCCAGCCAGTGGGGACACCACAGCACCACATATCTGATTCCATATTCCCCACTGCAGGGAACAGCAAGCGTCTCTGGACAGTGCAACAGTGCCCTGCAGCCTACGCAGGGTGCACACCACCCCCAACACCATGACCAACCTCAGCGTGTCAAACATGGCTGCCCCCACCGAGTGCCTGGTCTGCTCGGAGCTGGCCCTGCTCATCCACTTCTTCCCCTGTCAGCACAGCATTGTTTGTGAAGGTAAGTCACTGTTCACTCCGCCCACATGCCCTTGTCTGGGCTCCGAGTCCCATGACTCAGTGTCATGGGTCAGGGCTCTCAGGCATCGACCCAGAGCAACCCCAGTGTAGTTGCAGCAATGTCCTTGTAGATGCAGTGCCTGAGGGCATGGGAGGCATGTTATCCATGACTACCATTGGCTTGATGGCTTGGGGATCTAGGCAGCTTGTCCAGTGGTTACAGCTGCCCTGGGCAATTTAGAGAGATGGCTGGTTGCCTCCCTTTCAGCCAGTGAGACTTTCTCCAGCAAAACAGCTTAGAGGGTTCATTCCCTCCTCTGGCTTGCATCCTCTGTTTCTGTCTGAATGATATTAGCAGAGATCTGCTCAGTTGTGTCTGTTAGCTTGTTCCTCACCTGCATCCCTTGATCTGGCTGTGGGAAATTGGGTTGGAATCCCATCCCACTCCCTTTGAGTAACCACAGCCCTGAGGTTCAAGTCACAGGGGTGGAGTGTGTCATGGCCAGCATGGGAACCTGGCCAGGGAGGGGTCAGAGGTGTTTGATGCTGTTGGGGCAGGGCAGATTAAACAAAAGGACTAAGATGTAGCTCAGGGAGAAGCTGACATTCCCAGTGCCTTGCAGACATCGTCTCAGGCAGTTCCCAGATTGGTTTAAATGCTGATGCCCATGAGACCATTCCTGGCTTTGGGGCTTGTCCAAGTCCCCAGGGTTTAGCTGTAACCTCTCTTCTCATCCTGCTCTTGGCAGAATGCTCCCGGAGGATGAAGAAGTGCATCAAATGTCAAGTGACAATAACCAAAAAACTCAAACAAGGTACGTTCCCTGCGTCTTGCCATGCAAGACCCTGCAAGAGGCCCTTGCCCACATGTGCTCAGGCAGTCTCCAGACCAATTGGCCCCTCTGAAATGAGCTTGAGAAGGGACCCTCTACCTGATCCCCAGGGCTGGTCACCATAACTTCCCACCCAGCTGGTCTCAGTTGATGTTCCAGGGGTGGAGTTGTCTCTCACCTCTTGAGGCAGCTGCCCCAAACCAGGATAGGGGCCCCCCTATTGGCAGGGCCTGTGCCTGTGCATCTCCCTGGCTGTGCTGTGCATCAATAGTAGTTGTCTGGCTCCCAGACTGTCAGTGCAGCCCCTTCCTCCAGAGGTGGTTTCACAGTGGAAATGTGCACAATGGGAAGCATTGCTGTATGCAAGAGTCTTGTTTCACTCTTGATCTGTGAAGGTATTTAAAACCCCAGTCAACCTGCAGGGGCCAAGCAAGCAGGGTTGGCCCTGGCCAGCTGCTTAGGGACAGTCAGGGTCAGTTGCCCTAACAAGGATCCTCTCACACTGAGCCCAGATCCCTGCAACTTTGGACATGGAGCATCTTTCATTCTCAGACCAGGGGATGGTACATTCTCCTGTACCAGGGGCAGCAGGTTGGTTCTGTGCCGTGTGGCAGCAGAGTCCTGCTAGCCCTGGCATTCATCTGTGCTGTCCAGTGTAACACCCACGATCAGGTGTAGCTGCCCCTGTGTACCTCAGGCTGGACCATAAGGACAGGAATGGCAAGCTCTGCTGCTGCTGCTTAGTATCTTTTACCATTGAGTTGACACCAGACTGTGGTTTTATGAGTGGGCACCGCTGCCAACTGGCTGCCTGGGCGAAGGTGCAGCCAAGGATCTGTTACCTGGTGTTGGGTATGCGCAGCTGGCAAGGGCAGAAATCCCAGCTGGGAACAGTTGTGCTGCAGTATCCTGAGGTCACCTACCAGTAGGCAGAGGAAACCTATCGTTGCTGCTTTGCTGGATGATGTAGAATTCAGGAGGGCAAGACAGGGCAGTAAGAGACAGCAAAGCAGAGTCTCACCCTGCCCAAGACCAGAATCTCTGCACGAAGTTTCCAGTCGGTGCCGCAGAGACCCATCAGAATAGCAGAGCTCCTAGGTAACTCAGCAGGACCCCATCATTGGCATAACTGTGATGTCTTCTCAGAGCACCTCTTCCCAAAATCCCTTACCAGCTTGAACACTCTGGGGTCTCTTCCCTCGCCACTGCCGTGCTACCCCCTTGGCGGTGAGACAAGGAGCAATGCAACACAGTTGTGTTGGAGCTGGAAAGCAATGCTGTATCCAGCTGACACCAGGTGGAAGGTGCTAACACCTAGGCTGGCATGTGCCCGAGACACAGAGTTTTTTCCTCTAGTCTAAATTAAGCTCAGTGTCTCCGCAGGTTTGCTCTGAACGTCACACAGAAAGCGGATTAAGGGACCCTCCCCAGTTCTATCATTTGGGTTCCTAGGGGGTCAAATGAGAAGAACATAGGCAGGCATCCAGGGCCTGGCAGGCTACAGCAGAGATTGCAAAGGCCACTGGAAACAGGATGTGGAGCTCAGGTCAGTGGTGGGGACCTGCTGCCTTGTCAGAAAGCAGTCTAGACTGAGCACATTACTGCTGCAAAGGGCAGGGCCCAGAGTCCAAGGTGGAAAGGAGGATAGATGTGGGATGCTCTGGCCACTAACTTGCTCCCTGTTCCCCACAGACAGCACAGAGGTGGAGTGCATCCCTAGCACTGAGTCCATGGACCAGCAGAAGTTGATGGAAGAGCTGCAGAGCCGCTACCGCCAGATGGAGGAGCGCATCACCTGCCCCATCTGCATTGACAACCAGATCAAGCTGATCTTCCAGTGTGGCCACGGCTCCTGTCCCGAGTGCAGCGCAGCCCTCAGCGTCTGCCCCATCTGCCGGCAGCCCATCCGGGAGCGGATTCAGATCTTCGTCTGAGGCCACACGTACCCGCCCCTCCGCCTGCCACCCCTTCCCTCTCCTGTGCGTGCAGCTGGGAAGCGCAGGACCCATCCCACACTCTGAACCCAGAGCGAGTTGCTCGCACACCTGGCTCAGGAGGTGAGGTGTGGAGCTCAGTGGAGGTAGAAGGAGCCCTTCTTCCCACAGCTCTGCTCCCGTTCGGGAAGGCACAGCAATGATGGACAAGCAGCACGGTGCTGAGGATGGGACGGGGCAGGAGACCAGAGAGGAGACTTAGAGGTTTCCACCAGCAGCCCTCCTAAGGACAGCCCTTCAGGGGGACGGCTTCTTGTCTGGTTCCTTGTGCTGGGGCAGGTTCACGGCCTGATACAACTCTGGCAAGAGAAATGGCACAGAAGCCCTCCGCACTTCACGGCAGGCTGTAGCAAAGCAATGCTCTCGCACTTCACACTAGGAGGCCTCTGCTGGGATTGGGGCTCACTGTGTGCTCTCCCACGGGGCGCTCAGTCATGGGGGCCAGTGAGACGATGTGTGCTCACTCCTCCCTGCTGGGCTGGACACGTGTTGATTTGGGTTGGCTGCAGAGTCTGGACTGAACATTTTCTGGAGCTGGAGTGTGTGCCTTAGAGAAGAAGCAGTGATCCTTTCTTGGAGACAATATATTGCTGCAACAAGTATTTTTACCTCTAAGTGACACTCCTCCAATGTACTCTTCTGGTTTTTTTCAGTTAAATGTCCAGAGACTCTGAGCTTTCTATCCGCAATGCCAAAGGCAGGTGTCTGATATTCCAAACCAAGTGTAAAATGAAATAAAGAGTAATAAAATCCAACTAATACAGTGGGAGAAAGGCAAGTTTGGGGTTTTTTGGGGGGTTTTTTTGGTGTGGGAACCAAATTTAATTAAAAAAAACAAATTTATATCGTACTAATCATTGAAAGAAATGCACACTTAATAGGTTAAATCTTGAGGTCAGGCTGATTCCAATTTGGTGGTATTTTCTAAGCTGTTGATTTGGGAAGAAACGTCATCCAATGAACTTTCACCCTTACAGCAACTGTATTCAACTAGTGGCACCTAAATAGCATGTGTGTGCTCTGTGCATGCACAGAGCTTTGTCGCTCAGCTACCTGCACGCCACATCTTTTTTGTTACAACCTGGACACAATGTTTTGAACCATGTAATGTAAAGCAACAGAGGACCAATACTGAGCTATGGCGTGCAGCCACTGACATGCCCAAGATCACACCAGGTGCCCGTAGTGGTGCACAGCACAACTTCCAGCTGACTGCAAAATGCAGCAGGCCATTCTCCAGGGTTGGTTTTCTCTCCTTTGTTTAGTAGAAGTTTTTGTTAGGAGCTGATTTTTAGACCGCAAAAGAGCCCTCGGCTCTGTTCTCCCCAGCTCCCTCTTTTTGGCCAAACCTCCAGGAGGTCTTTATTAGGAAAGTGGGCCACTCTGCGGTTTCTTTTGTGCATATGTTCTCTCTCATTCTTTCCCTGGCAGGTCCTATTCTCTTCCAGTTGGGAGCCTGGTATTTGAATTGGCAGCTGGTTTTGTTAGCTGTTTTCGTGCAGCTGGATTTGAGAAGAAAGTCTGTTCTGTGAACCTGCCTTTGCTCCAGGCCACTCAGGGACACGAGCTGCAAAGAAATCTCCCTCCAGGTCCCTCAGCCTATTTTAAGCCTTGTGACTCCAGAGCTTTGCCCCATGTCAGCACGGCTGCCCTCGTGCAGGCAATCAAGCCTGTTGTTTCCTTAGTGGAACGCGAGGTCCCTGACTCAGTGCAAACACCTTGCCCTGTCTGTGCTAGAGACTTGCTCCAGCCCGGCTGGGTGCTCATGGGGGGAATTAGACCAAGCCTCTTGCACAGCCAAGTCCCCGGGCTTCTCTTCGCCCTCTGAAGCTCTAAGGTTGGCCTCGACTTGGAGCATGACATCGAGTGTGGTCTCCTCTTCTCCATCCCTCCCCCATCCTCTTCCTAATCCTTGAATTAAAATGAATTGTCTTACTGTTTCCCTAGCAAGCTGAACAATGAGGTTTGCAGGCCGCTGAAAAAAAGAGCATATTCATAGCCTTCAGAGGAGATGCTGGGTGTCTCCAGCTCTGAAGGACAGTCGGAGGCAGCAGAGGTGAGCCACACCGAGCATTGCATTGTCATCGCTGCTGTGAGAAATTCTGAGCTCCTCTCAGGAGCGTACGGGATGGAAAAACCCACAGCATGGTCAGGAGATTCCTGTCCTGGAAACACCATTAGAGTGGGCAGGGGCTTTTGTCTCATGCCACTGGCTTCCACACTGATGCCTGGGAAACCGGAGCATGGTGGCTTGTCTAGGCTAAGACTTTGCAGCATAGCTACAGCTTCTTTGGTGCCAGTGTCATGGGATGCCCACACAGTGGACCAGAGGACAGCACTGTCCCTTAAAGTGTGTAGCACGAACGTGCAAACCGTGTTTTACCTTAGTCTATGCCAAAAAGCTACCATGGGCACAAACCCCACAGGACGTAAAAACGTGAACAATCCTCTGCTAAAGGCCCAAGGCCCTATAGGACTATGAGATTAGGTCCTTGTTTCTACCAGCATCTAGCATCTCCCCTTGCTGCTGGTTGGTGAAGAACTCTTGCCTTCTACATGCCAGAAAAGGGCTGTGTAGTGACCCCCAAATGCCTGTTGCTGTAGGGAGGCTCAGTAATAACTACAGGATATATTGCTGCTTCAGGCGGCCTGCAGCTGAGAAACAAGCTTTCCCTGAGTTTAACCCTGCCCCCTCTCTTCCCCTATCATAACACAGCTGGATTTTGGAGAGAGCTGAACCCCAGGCAAAGAGGAAGTTCCTGTCCTTACCAGGGACAGAGTTGCCTGAGAAGTGACTTGTCTCATTAAAGAGGTCAACCCTGCAAACAAAATGCATTTCTGATGCAGCTGCCTGGGGTCCAACAGCCATGGAGACAAGAGCTTTAGCTCCATCTAGCTGTCCCTGTTCCACCACATGCTGTCCCATAAGCTTAAACTCAAATGCCAGTGAGAGTTAAGCCCACGTTACCATGTCCTTGTTGCTGTTTTAACCTGTCTTAGCTAAAGCATGGGTGAAGCCGAGCTAAGATTAATGCACCTTTTTACTGCACACCATATGCAGTCTAAGTGGTGCTGCAGTGGGCAAAGACACTCTCCATCCAATGAAGCTGCCACTTAGCGGGGAAGGGGGCTGCTGGCAGGGAGTTTCCTTAAAGGGCCCTGAGCTGGGGTGTTTGCTCCTGTGTGATATGGCAGTACCTGAGTTTGTTAACCAGCTGGGCATGCTGACAGCCTCCATCCTTCTTCTCGGCACTTGGGGGAAGTAGCATTCCCCAGCTAAGATGTTTCTAGCCATGTCTGTCTCTTTCAACATCTGGGCACTGCGGAGCTTGAGAAAAAGCAACAGCTAGACTGCATTATCCAAGGGCTAGCAGTTGAACCACTGAATCTACCAAGCAGTTTTAAATCTGGGCATGGTACATTTGCTTTGCGTCCTTGGAACAAGCAGCTAACAAAGCAAAGCTAGAAGGGGAGTAAGGCCCTGTTGGACTCTGTTGTCCCTTGTGATCCAGATGCCAACAATCCTTGCACGGCTGGGAGTAGCACCTGAGCGTCCCTCTGTGTCAAGGAAGGAGCAGGGTGAAGTGAACTCGGAGAGAGCGCTGTTCTCACCTGCTCCTTCCCTCGTGTGTGTGTGGCTTCAGGCGCTTCATCACGGAGCAATCTGGGCTATCTTCACACATGCCCTGTGAGTCCCTTGTATGTAGCGCCCTGGCAGTAATGGAGTGGCCAGGGCGGCTCCTCCCTACACAGTTGCATGTTGCCTTTCTCCTCCCTGCTTCCTGGCTCCCTGCAGAGGAAAATCACTGAATGGAACCGGCTGAATAAGAGCAGCCACCGGGCTCGGCCCTCTCCTGGACTCCAGCTGATGTACAAATGTCTGTACAAGTGCCTTGCGCAGCTCAGTTCCAGGGGAGTACAAGGCTTGCATTATCCAGCCTGCCTCCCTGCTCCTTGGAAGATGCTGAGATTATAGACAGGTGTTCCCTGGGTTAATCTCCAAATGGGCATTGCTTGGCACACCCCACTCAACAGCCCTACTGTGGCTCTTGGTATATAAAGTTAGTGGTGGTGGAAAGTGCTGCATGTACATCCGCAGAGCACGAAGGTAGCTCAGTGCTCTGGATCCAAGCACCAGGGGGAACTCTTTCCACTGCTGTGAGCGGGTCTGATGTTGATCCTTCATCCATGTGAGGGTGCCTGATCTTGAAGCATGTTCTACTGTTGTTCACTCCCATGTGAAGAAATTTGAGGCAAGCAGAGGCCAAGAAAGAAGGCAAGCTGACTGTGTCTTCTCACCACCACACCCACCTCCTCCTTGGGGAGGGAGCCGCGGTATCCTCAGCCATCCATCTCACTTCTGCGAGCATCACAGTGAGGGTTGTGTTTTTGGCAATGAGGACTCTTGTGCAGCAGTGACTGGGACTGATGCCTACCAGGCTCATTTTGGGATGGTAGTGATGCTGGATTCTTGATGACTAACATGATTTAAGGAGTCCAGCATGGAGCCCCTTAGCTGTGGTGTCTTTTGTGCATCTGAGCCAAGGGCTGGGATTGGCAAGCCGCTGTCTCCAAGCCCATTGCATCCTTGGGTTTTATTTTACTGTCCTAGTTTGTCTCTCCTCCATTCAGTGCTAAGTACCAGCTTTGGCTCCACAACCTGGGTGCAGCCTGCCTCCATCCAGGAAGGTCAGGCACAACCCGTCCCATCTCCCCTATCCGCTCCGGGAAATGCAATCCTTGGAGTGTGCTGCCGATGGGGGTGTGGGGGAGGAGGTCTGCTTACAGCTTCCTTTCCCAGCGCAATGTCTGGGCTCCCAGGAGCATTTCCTCCCTGAGTCAGAGATCCTATATGAGGCCAAAGGGCTCGGGCTCTATCCCAGCTCTGTCCCAGCCGCCCCCTCCCCTCCACCCATTTTGGACTCCCCGGTGCCTCCAAAAGGGGCAGGACAGCAAAATATTTTGGAGCTCCTGGGCTGATGCCACATCCCCTTAGCTACGCCTCCCACCCTGGGCTGAACCTGGGCTGGGCTTCCCCAGTCCCCTGACCTCCATGAGGTGACTGAGATCCAGGAGGAGGAAGAAATGCCTCATCTTCTCCCCCTTTGTGGCTGGGTGCTGCACAGAAGTCTTGCAAGAGACCTGTACTGAGGGCCAGGATGAGGTGGGAGTGGTGCATGGGGCCTGATGCACAAGGGCTTCTCCCTGCATGCTGCAGACGGGTTTGTCTGGGAGCTGTCCAGAACGAGCTGGCACTGGCTGTAGCATTTCCTGATGTAACACTAAAGGATGCTGACAATAATCCACTTAAGCCAGAGCATGTCTAGTTTCAGCTACAAGCTGCGTGCGGGAGCTTTGCCATACACTAGGCATTGTCCATCGCACTGCTGCAGCAAGCCCCAGCAGACGGGTGGGAAAGAAAGAGCAATGGGAAACCTTGCCACTTCAGTCGACAGAGCCAATTTCCAGTGGGCCAGACCTTAGCATCTCTTCTCGACTGTTTTATTTCTGCCAAGCATGAATCTTGCTGTAGAGGCTGCTACGTTTATGCCACGCAGTGTCTTAGGAAATACTGCTGAAAAGCCTGCAGATGAAGCCCAGGATCCCCCACAGGGCTGCTCACAGCAGGGAGGCAAGGGCTGTGCAGGCCATCAACACACCCAGGTTGGTTCTCTCTCCCCTTCTCCCCACGTGGCTTCTCGCATCTGTAACATGTTCCAGCACCCCTGTGACTCCAGCCAGCATTGCCAGGAATATTTTTCTGTCCCAACATAGCCA